GCCTACTTCAGTAAACTGGGTCAAGTGTAGAAAAGATGCTGTTTCACTTATCACAAGTCTCCCAATACATCTTTAACTAGCAATGCCTATTTAACTTTTGTTTGCCTTTCTCAGACTACAAAAAATGCAAACTTGATAGCTACCTAGTTAGTATGAACACAGGTCAGGACAGCATCAAAGTAACAACAACAAAAATGGAAAACCAGGAAGTGAACTTGTTACGGGTGCCAGGAAAATATTTATCCAGGTTGCAATCCCACACTTATTTGGGAGTAAACTCTGCAGAACTTAGTGGTACTCGCTTCTAAGTAAACCTGCATGGGATCGTATTTGCCTAACACATTTCAAAAGCACAGTCATCTAGGAAAATCAACATGAGGTCACTACCAACATTTTGTAATGATGCCACTTTTAACTTCGATGAGTGTTTGTTTTGAAATTGTCGCCATTTAACCATTTGACAAAATGTCTGTTTTCTTACACTGATTCTTGTTTTGCACTACAGCTCGTCACCCGACAGGCATCCTGGGCTAAGCTACAGAACTGCAAATAAAACGTTTTACATGTGTTGTAAAGTGCAATAAACAAATGTGACACTAGATGGCGAGACTGAGCTATGGAAAATTCAACATATTTTTCAAAATGTTTTTTAAAAAAGCATTTTCACAGTGTGTTTGATATGTGTGTCGATTCCACCCCATCAAAATGTGATGGGCAACTTAATAGGTGCTTTTCTTGGCACAGGTTTGAGGTAAAGAATATAAGAAGAATCTGGCCGGATCCACCTAAATCTGCTTCCCACAAGGTCAGCCAAATGTCTCCAGATAACCTACACACCATCAGTATTCACGGCTATGATTCCTGGAGGTTACATAGCACCTTGACTACTAGCAGAATAACAAATCTAGCCATTGAAAGGAGACTCACATTTTCACACACAAACATGTGCTTTTCTACAGTAAAACAACCTTCACCCCTAAACTACATTTTCACACACATGCTAAACAAATTTCATTTACCCAAGCAGCTTAAAAAAAAAACTCCCAGAAAGATATTCCACTACCTCACTAACCTTAACATTCACTGCTCAAAACAATCAGCAAACGTAAAACTGACAAGATTCACACACCAACCGCATGTAAGGACGGGGTTACCAACCCATGGCACCCACAAAGGCTTACTGGAGCCCTGGGCAGGTGCCAAAGATTTTGAGCTTTCATTTCTTTAAAATAGTAAGTCTCTAGCCCAGGGGTCAGCAAACTTTTTCAGCAGGGGGCCAGTCCACTGTCCCTCAGACCATGTGGTGGGCCGGACTATATTTTGGGAAAAAATATGAACGAATTCCTATGCCCCACAAATAACCCAGAGATGCATTTTAAATAAAAGCACACATTCTACTCATGTAAAAACACCAGGCAGGCCCCACAAATAACCCAGAGATGCATTTTAAATAAAAGGACACATTCTACTCATGTAAAAACACACTGATTTCCAGACCGTCCGCGGGCCGGATTGAGAAGGCGATTGGGCTGCATCTGGCCCCCGGGCCTTAGGTTGCCTACCCCTGCTCTAGCCCTTCTAGAAAGCTATGGTGCAACTTTCGAAGAGATTTCTGTGAAATGAGTTTGGTGTTACCACCTCGTAAACATTTCTTGGTCCCGAGAAGCACTCTGATAGACAGCAGCAACGTCAGTGTGAGTGAAATTAATGTTGTGTGATCGCCACAATCGGAAGAGCAGAACTTGGCTAACTTCCCATGATAAACAGATTGTCAGGGGTGACTAACTTTGTATTATGCCACCACCACCCGCTATAGCATCTATTTTGTGACTGGGGGCCCCGGTACTCTCTCAGAATTTGAAATGTTTGCATTTCAAAAAATGTTCCTGGCCCCTGCGAAACTTCTAGAAGATCCTGCAGCTGCCTTACACATTTGTTGTTGTTGTTGTTTAGTCGTTTAGTCGTGTCCGACTCTTCGTGACCCCATGGACCAGAGCATGCCAGGCACTCCTGTCTTCCACTGCCTCCCGCAGTTTGGTCACACTCATGCTGGTAGCTTCGAGAACACTGTCCAACCATCTCGTCCTATGTCGTCCCCTTCTTACACAAACAGAACTGCAAAGGGGCCCTGAAGATGAAACGTATCTTACACTCACACAGCTTTGATCCACATGAAAGGAGGCAAGTATAAATGAAAGTCAAAAGTTTTTAATGGAGAATGGCATCGCAGAAGCAGCATGGGATTTACCCAAACCCAAAACAGCACATAATAATACACTTTGCCCTTGGTAAGAAAAGGATCCCAAAAAGTATACTGAAAAGAAATGCACATACAGACTTTTTCCGTGACCCGGGCTCTAAGTGATGCGATTTCACTTGTCCCTTTCCAGACCTGCAAACTTAAAGTATTAAGTCATATAAAAGGAGAGCTTCCATGAAAAGAAACTTCTTGCCTGGGGGAGCTGGACGAGCAGTGGGAAGAGGACATGCATTGGGTTTTTAATTCTAAAATAAAAGTTATAAACAGCCTATTAGAACTGAAAAGCTGCCCAATTACTTAAAAAAACCCAAAAAAACAGAAGGCATGCTTCCATGCCAAAGGAGGGGGGTGGCTTTTTGTGCCCTACATTGAGGGAGAAAGTGAGAGCCCCAAAGGTAGTAAACCTGACTATGGTAAGAAGACTGAAAAGGACATCCAGCCTGCAGGGGGTTTGTGTGTTCAGGGTTGGCACTGGAAATGTGGTATTTCACAGAGCAAACTGGAAAGAAGCCATCTTCCCCTTAGTCAACCCTCAAGCTATTTAAGAGGGCTGAATCCAGCCAGCAGCCGAACTGGTCTGGTATACAAACTCCACCACAGCAGTCGGGCTGAGTGAGCTCTAAAACCCGTTGAACTTATTTCTTCCTCACGTTTCTTGCAGCACATTCCTGTACGCAGACACATTCTGTAAGAACACAGGCAAGATGACTTAAGTTAATGCCTTCTTGATTGCTCTCGAACAGACCTTTCTTTACTGGAAGGAAGTTAGAGGATTGTGAGGCAGAGCTTGCCCTTCATTCAAACATGTGGCAAGAGGTTTCTAGGCTGGCAGCCCCCTGATTCGAACACAGAACATGTATAAGTCAGAATTGAAATGAAACAGTTTCATTGTTCTTCTGGTAAATCATTTTCACTCTTAACACTTTCCTACGGCTTCTTCTCCGTGACAACTACATGTTTTTGACAACGGTTATTTCAGTTTATAGTTCATTTCCTCAGTTCATTTTGTCCAAAAGAAACAGGAGTTTTATAACAAAACTAGAGCTCCATCTACATTTTCAACTCCTTACTAAAGAGATCATGCCAGAGGTGACAATTATTTTTTGACAATTCACCCTCGAGAGAGATGTCTGACAAATCCAGAGTACCGGAGGCAAACAGAAGGAAAATCTTTTTAGCAAGTTAATTTCAACTTGAAAATGAAAAAATGGCATGGTTCACATGCAATAGTGAACTGCAATAATGAAGACAAGCCGTAAGGAGTCTTGGGCTCCCATGCTCCCCCAACCTACACTTTAGTTTTTACATCTGAACCCTGAACTGTGTTTTATCTTAATCACAGTTGGTGAAAATAAGGCCACTTCAAGAACTATAGCTTGACTAAGCATGGTTCAGACTAAGAGGTTAATCTAGGTCTGGGCAACATGGAAAGCTGCAGATATAGTCTAAGTCTGCATCAGAAATGAAAGTTTCCAAACTCTCCTTCAGGACTGCATTGCAGGAAGAGAATGGAGCATTAAAACCCAAGACTCGCTGTGGCTCATGTGCTAACCCATAACCCATACGTTTAGCATTACATGCAAAAGACAACCACTGAGTTTCAGAAGCCAAATTCCATATGATAACCAGTTCATGTGATGCATTCCATGTGTCCCTGGTGCTTTCAATGAAAACATACCAAAGCAGTTGGGCTCTCTCTGACCTTATTTTTTCCAGGAAGAAAATGACCTTTTATTCATTTATTGAGGCAAAGACATTGGATGCCTGACTGTATCCAGAATGTCTTCATTTAAAACTACCAGATATGAGTGATTATAAGGCAGAGAAATGGTCATAGTTAACAAGCCCAGTATGCTGAAATGTCCTATTATTGTTTTGGGTGACATTGATTTGAAAGGCAACTGCAGAATAAGAACACAGGTGTTTCTCTCAAAAGGACAGTGCACACAGTACAAAAACTGCATCTAAAATATTGCTGTTCCTCACAAGCATAAAGCAAATAAAGATGTTAGAGGCACAACGTAATAGTTTCACAGAATATATAGTAGAGAAACTAAAAGCCTGTAGCAAGCATACAAGCTGCAATGCACTGTCTTTCCATATCTTAGGTCCATTTTGGATATTAACCAGGAGATTGAAGCATGGTTTCAAACAATACAAAATTTGGCACATGTGAAACTATGTTTGACGTAGGGTACAGAGAATGCTATTTTCCAAGCTCTCACATCAAATATGTTACTAAAGTGTTTTAAACAATGATGTTTTTCCCAAATAAATACATACATACATACCGTTGATGTGATTTTCTAAGCACTATAGTGCAAATTAAAATGAGTTTCCACTTTTGATTATGATATAAGCCTCCTTCAGGTATCATGATCAGGTTAAAATAAACGCCTAGGTGGGGCGAATGAAGACTAATATACTAGCTCCACTGTCACGGTTGTTATACTTGTCACCTTCCAGTTTGTGGAAGGTGATGGTCTGAAGCAAATTTGTGAAGGTGCCTCAAATTTTAGTACCCGGCAAAGTTAGGAGGCCGCAGAAGTTATTCTCCTCCTGCCCCCCACATTTACTTTAACCTAACTGGAACACCTGATGAGGACAACAGAGAGAGAGAGAGAGAGAGAGAGAGAGAGAGAGAGAGCGCAACTCCCATGGCTATGTCTGCCATGAAAGGATTTTCAGACCATTGGTCTATGTGACCCTTTATCTTCTGCCTGGAAAAAGGTCTTCAGTCCTAGGCACAGGCCTTTCTTGTTTTTTCTGCCAAAGATCCTTTTATGAGGAGATGCCAGGGCTGAGCTATGGCCTCTGCAAACCTCATGATGGGATCCATGTAGGGTACAGATGCATGCGGTTCCAACACACATCTGGCTCCATGGCCATTAAGAAAGTAGGAACTCTTGAGGTGCGTATTTGTGGGAGGGCTGCCCCATATACATTCTGAGAAGGCCAAGGACACAATAAAATGACTGCTATTTTGTGGAAAACAACACCTCCTGGACTTTAAACAGAAGCTCGTCATAGTATATGCCTTAGGCATATGATGAATAGAATGGGGAAAGCAACAAATATTACAATTTTCTTCTTGTCACATATTCGGGGTCAATGTTCCATTTAAAAATGAAGTCTTGAACTCACTACATTCAGCAATGTTGAAGCATTTAGGACATGAGTAAAACATTTTGGCATCGTTTGAAGAGTCCTGCGCTCCTCTGCTATGACTGAACACCTGTTCTCCACCTGAAAGCTTTACAAATCACCCTTGCAGGGCAACCTACTCAGAAGTAAGCCAAACTGAATTACATGGGATTTGTTTCCAGGTCAAGAGTGGGTTGAATCAGAGTCTGTAAAAAAAGGCATACAGCACAACTCACCCAGAATTTCTCTTGTTGAAGTTTCACTAAAGCAGACTGGCACTGCACACAAGAGAACAGTTCTGCTGTTGTGTAGCTGCTATTCATTTCAATGGGCTCTGGACAGGGAAGACTTTCAGGGGAATAGTGCCTACGGACAACTATTTTTAGGCTTCAAAATGTGCGTGCAAAACTACGGGCTGGAAAAAAGGAGGGTAGAAAATATGTCTCCTTTATTGTTTGATAACGCTCTGGGTACTGTAGGTAATTCCTTCAGCTCGAACCCGTTCGAGTATTGGTCCATAAATATTCTTGGTTAATGGGATGACCATGCCTTTGGTGTCAATTTCTCCTGGAACATAAAGAGAAAAATGTCACTGTTATCATTAATTAAATTTGTATACCACCCCGTCATCTGAAGATCACAGGGCGATTCGCAACCTAAAACTTCAAAATACATAATGAAACAAAAGCAGAAGCAAAACAAACCAATAACCTCCTTCCACAGATACATTTAAAAGGCCAGGGTATGTTAATCAGCCGTACGCTTGGTTGAAGAGAAACATTTTCACCTGGCGCTTAAAAGCTATGTAATGAAGGCGCCCAGCAAGCCTCTTTGAAGAGAGCATTCCACAAATGGGAGAGCCAACCCAAAAAAGGCCATTCCTGTGTTGCCACCCTCCAGATCCCTTGTATTTGATTAATTCTTCTTTAAAGGGGAGATATAGAGAAAAAAGCAACCTGTACGGCAATTATTTTAAAACATTACAGTGCAATCCTCACCATGTTTTCTTAGAAGTATGTCCTATTTAATTCAATTTAAGTGGGGTGACAAGGATTGAAGCCTCACTAAAACAAAGTCCTGGCGCTCTGCTCACAGTGGAACAGCGAAATTACGTGCGCTTATAGCAGGCTTCCCCAACGTGGGGTGCTTCAAAAGTTGTTGGACTCCAACTCATATCAGCCCCAGTCAGCATGTCCAAGAGACAGAAGAAGAAGAAGAAGAAGAAGAAGAAGAAGAAGAAGAAGAAGAGGAGGAGTAGTAGTAGTAGTTTGGATTTGATATCCCACTTTATCACTACCCGAAGGAGTCTCAAAGCGGCTAACATTCTCCTTTCCCTTCCTCCCCCACAACAAACGCTCTGTGAGGTGAGTGGGGCTGAGAGACTTCAGAGAAGTGTGACTAGCCCAAGGTCACCCAGCAGCTGCATGTGGAGGAGAGGAGACGCGAACCCGGTTCACCAGATTACGAGACTACCGCTCTTAACCACTACACCACAGTGACAGGGATAATTGGAGATGTAGTCCAACAGCATCTGAAATGGTTCAGTTGGGAGAAACTGGGCATGAGAGATCTACCAATTCTTAAAACAAACCAGTTCCTCTTACACTTACAGTTTACAGCTGCCGGCCGATGGGACCCTGCGCAAACTCTTGCGAGTTCCCTCCTCTTTGGCAGGCAGCAATACTCTGAGCAAAGCTACAAGGACTTCCAGATGGCAGAGTCTACCTGCACTTTATATTATTAATTATTGCAATTAACCTCTTTCCTCATATAAATGGCCCCAAACACCTTACAAAAACAGTATGAACACTAAAATCAATTATAACAAACACAAACACACTTCTCTACAGAGTGCCAAGAGGTCTGGGGGTCCAGGACGCATAACAACATTGGGTCCTGCTGGGTGCTGGAACCCTGAAATTGCCCCACGTATGTGACATGATGGCTCACATGGGTGATAAGGATCTTAGCACACAAAACTGTGGTGAATGTGAGGACTACAATGAACTGCATTACCACAGAATCACTGTGATGAACTTAAGATTTATAATTCACACTTATAAATGAGGAGTGGGGTGTTTTCTTTGGTGGGGGGATAAAAAAGTGCTGGAAGTCTTATTTATCTCAATTTTGCTAGCACAAAATGGCTGCCATGGGGAGCAAAAACACAGAGGTGCCAGTACTCCATACTGGTGAGTGTTGTCATGTACAACCACACACACAAAAAAGCCCCACAAGTGTTTGTTAATAGGGATATTAATAATAACGATGCAGCCTTTTAAGAATTATTTCAGTACCCATTGGCTAAAACAATACTTGCACATTTGAAGACTACTTAAAAGAACCTTCCACACACACCAGGTGCACCACACAACTTACAAAGACCCGTACGTACCATCGAGAACCATCTTTGCTGCGATAGCAGTCGGGTACCCTACAGTTTTAGCCATTGCAGAATATCCTTTATCATCTCCATACACCACAAGATTGACATATTTGTCTTCCAAATGACCGGACGGATGTTTGATTCCTATTTCATTCCTCATGACTATCATATCGCGCTCTCCGGGACCTAAAGGAAAAACAGAAATATGTTGCTTTTTCTGTTGTCAGAAAAGATGAACAAGCTATAGCTTTAACAGTGAACTGCACAAAACCCAAGAAAAACTCAGTGTGTGAAAGATACCACCCCTGTTCTCCTTAGCTCTGCTTTGGATTGCGAAGCAAATTCATCTTTCCGCCTCCCAAATGTAGAATGTTGCAGAATGTAACATAACTGATGTAGACATCTCCACCGATATCCGATTGTGGCCAACCAGAAATAAAATATAAAAATAAATGGGATGGGGTTGGGGAGCTAAACAGTCTTGACTGAAGGAACAAAATGAAGTTGCTTGTTTTAGTATTCTGGCCTAGACATGCTAAAATGGAGAGATCAATTATTTATTAGATTTGTATACCTGTAGATCTCAGGGGAATTCACATAAAATTGCAATATAAGCAACACAAAAAACAGAATAAAAACATGAATAGAAACAAACTCAACAACCCTTCCCCTTCCACAAACACTTTTAAAAGGGCATCGGATGTCAATCAACCAAAGACTCGGTTAAAAAAGGTATATAATGAAGGCACCAGGCGAACTTCCCCAGGGAGAGCATTCCACAGACGGGCAGCTACTGCAGAAAAGGCTTGTTCTCATATTGCCACCCTCTGGACCTCTCAAGGAGGAGGCACATGCAGAAGGGCCTCAGAAAGGGATCTCAGGGTTCGGGTAAGTTCATATGGAGAGATGCAGTCCTCGGAGTATTGCAGTCCTGAGCTATAGGTCAAAGCCAGCACGAGCAGAGAGTGTTTCACATACCATAGGACAACTTGGCCTCCATGTGTTTCGCTAGTGCGCCGACTATTGTTTCTGCTATTGGAACGGGCTCATCTCCAAGTAACCCCAGCCTGAAAGAGCAGGGACAAGGCACCATTTGTCAGAAAAAGCCCAGGACCTTCTCCCAAAAAACTGAGAGCCGCAGCTCGAGCCCATGGTCGCAAAGCGAGAAGAATGGGATGCCACCACATCGCAATTTGGGTCAGGCAACTGGTGTGTCAGGAGAAAGCAAAGCAGATGCAATGATCCTCCTCACATCTTAATTGGCATCTTTATTACAGTGCCGTGCCCTGGGGCTACACCTCCAGTGTTGCCATGCATAACCTAACTTCTGCAATCAGCTTGCATTTTCCTTTTCAGTTTTTACTTACGTTCTATCAAGATATATGCAGAGAAAAGAGAAGGTTAAGTACACCCGACTACGTCACCGTAATTATTTTGATTGCTGATACTGCTTTATTGGATTCGCTTGCTTTATAATCTTATTCTATCGTTATTGTTAAGTTGTGGGTGAACATATCAAACGACACAGCGATTATTCAAACGGCTCTTGCTTATTCACAGGCCAGAACAGAACTGAACTGAAGGGTTCAGCCAGCCTGCTTATATAGAGCTCCACTAGAACGCAACTGTAACAATTTTCTAAAACTATCCAATCACTGAACATCACTTTCTATCCCTTATTTGCATAACTATCTACAGTATCCCCCTGCTGGCCCAGGGTGAGAACTTCAGTACATAACAGTTATGCATTTGCGGCCTTACAGCCAAAATGAAGCATGCAAATGAAGAACAGTATCACGTAACAACATCATCAAGCCAGTGGCCTGCATGCAAATCGAGCTGCTGAAGATTGAAGTTTCACACCAAATGTTTCACTTTGAAACATGCTTTTAAGAAATGGGAAGAAGAAGAAGAGGAGTTTGGATTTGATATCCCGCTTTATCACTACCCGAAGGAGTCTCAAAGCGGCTAACATTCTCCTTTCCCTTCCTCCCCCACAACAAACACTCTGTGAGGTGAGTGGGGCTGAGAGACTTCAAAGAAGTGTGACTAGCCCAAGGTCACCCAGCAGGTGCATGTGGAGGAGCAGAGACGCGAACCCGGTTCACCAGATTACGAGTCTACTGCTCTTAACCACTACACCACACTGGCTCTCTGGGAATTGGCAGGCTACTCTTAGCCATTTTAACTAGTCTCTTATGCCTGGATGATAGAGAACAGGTCTGGCCCAAGTCATTTGGGCACCTGAGGCCAACCACAAAATGGCGCTCACCTCCCTGCCAGGGAAGGAGGAGGTTAGTACAGTGGTACCTCACAAGACAAATGCCTCGCAAGACAAAAAACTCGCTAGACGAAAGGGTTTTTGGTTTTTTGAGCTGCTTTGCAAGACGATTTTCCCTATGGGCTTGCTTCGCAAGACGGAAACGTCTTGCAAGTTTGTTTCCTTTTTCTTAACACCGTTAATACAGTTGCGACTTTACTTCGAGGAGCAACTCATAGCACGCGGTGTGGTAGCCTTTTTTGAGGTTTTTAAAGACTTTGGTGATTTTTGAAGCTTTTCCAAAACTTTCCCGACACCGTGCTTCGCAAGATAAAAAAAATCGCAAGACGACAAAACTCGCGGAACGAATTAATTTCGTCTTGCGAGGCACCACTGTAAAGGTCTACATCAGAAACAAGCGGGAGAATGAAGATCTACATTGGGATCTGCTGTACCCCTGTGGATCTATGCTGCCTCACCTTATCTCATGAGTGGGCTGGCCTTGCTAGAGAGGCACTTTAAAGGGGGGGAAATGTGGGGAAAGGTCAATCCCGAAATCTCCTACCATTCGACCGCATCCAGCTGCCTTGCATCCTCATTCAGTTTATTGTAGACGGCATTTCGAAGATCATCATATGTGGCAGACTGCTTAAGTCCAAGTAGCCTGCACATAAGTTCTTTCTGGGTAAATATATATATAAATAATAGTAACAGATCACCATCCAATAGTCAGAACGTTGAAAGTACAAACATTTGCACCTTAAGAAAACTGCAGGTGACGAACACCAGCTTTTTTGTGCAATAGTAGAAACGGTCCACATTCAAAGTAGAAATGTGAAAAGGGGTGGGCTATGAGAAGGGCGGGCGCGAGTGGCGCTGTGGGTTAAACCACAGAGCCTAGGACTTGCCGATCAGAAGGTCAGTGGTTCGAATCCCCACGACAGGGTGAGCTCCGGTTGCTCGGTCCCTGCTCCTGCAACCTAGCAGTTCGAAAGCACATCAAAGTGCAAGTAGATAAATAGGTACTGCTCCGGCGGGAAGGTAAATGGCATTTCCTTGCGCTGCTCTGGTTCGCCAGAAGTGGCTTAGTCATGCTGGCCACATGACCAGGAAGCTGTACGCCGGCTCCCTCGGCCAATAAAGCGAGATGAGCGCCGCAACCCCAGAGTCGGGTCACGACTGGACCTAATGGTCAGGGGTCCCTTTACCTTTATGAGAAGGGCATAAGGTACAGCCATTGGCTGTGCAAACAGAGCTTTGTTGTCAGGAATGGGATAGCCCACTGTTGTGTGAACACTGGATTTCAAAATAATTATAGGTGTAGATGGCAAAATACAAAGCGAATCCATTTCACACATGCCTCAGCTGCAGCCTTCTTTTGGACCACGAAAGGAACACTCACCCAGGTTATAGAAGCTGCTGTTGCGCTGAGCATAGGACACGGCTCTGAATTTATCAGTCCTAGTTTCACAAAGCCTCCAATAGCTTTAGAATAACCCTGGAAGAAAGGGGGGGGTTAGAAACTGCCACAGAACACAGGGAGCAACATGCCAAACTCATATGTGACACCAGAAATCTACCAACATGGTTTCCCTCCCATTCCAACATTTGAGCTTTCCTTCGATATGCCTGCATAGGTATTTCGACAGAAGTCAGCAAACGACATGCAACAAATCTGAAGATGGCTTTTGCACACACAGTTCTCGTGCAATAAGTGCCTTGCTATGCTTTTCCTGCTGTTGTAAGCCACCCTGAAATTGGATAGGGTGCTAAAATAATTTAAATAAAATAAACAAGCATACATACAATTGTGTTGTCAGGCCATGGGTCAATCTAACCCAGAGGTGGAGAACTTGTGCCCCTCCTTATGTTGTTGGGATGCCAACTACTGCATGACCAATGGTTAGGGATTGGGGTGGATAGTTCTGCATGCATTTTGGTATTTTATGCACTGTGACTTGCAGTTATTTTTATTGATCACAGTTTCGTAATTATTCATTGTAACGGTTAAGACTGAATTCGTGTTTTGTTATTGTTTGCCGATGTTTCAAGAGTTAATTTTATTGTGCACTATTACAGTCGAATAATTATTGAACATTACTTTATTTGATACAAGTCGTTCCATTTTAAAGTTATGTTTTATTGTGACTTTCTGTATGGGATCAGGTTATATTACAAGGTGCGAGTTCCTGGTTGTGTATTTTGTTGCTGCAAACTGCCTTGTGTGTAGTAAAATAGAAAGGCAGTATACAAATTGAAGGTGAAATGAAAATGAAAATTAGGACAACAGGACCAGTTCCGCTGCACTGGGTTCCCAGCCTAGGGGGCGCTGTAACTGTGACACAGTGACTTGAGCAGGATGGAAGGCAAATTTTAGCCTCGCCACAGGGCACCATTGAATTTTGATAGAACAAAGACCACCCCTGCGGGGATGATGGGAGTTGTAGCCCAACGGCATCTAGAGGGTCACAGATTAGCTGACCTTGATCTAACTCAATATTTCCTCCCCCGATTAGCAATTATTCTCCCAAGATCTCACATAAATCTCTCACAGAACATTTTCACAGCGCAAAGATTCTTTCCATCGAACCCAATACCTTGTGCATGAAAAGGGTGAGCTACGGCTGATCAGTTTTTTTAATAATATTTTTTATTAGTTTTCAATTACAATAATCCAATAATAGCCTCATTATAACAATGCCAATTTTTAATACCAATCATTAAAATACCAAATGATATAATTTAGGTGGCCCCCCGCGTGCTAGCATTGATGGTTTGATGATTTACTTTATTTCTGCGTTCCAAAATCTTATTAATTTTAATTATATTCCAGTCAAGATAACAATCCCTTATATAACAACTGCATTTGTCTTGACACATTAAATCAGTGCTTTTTTTTCTGGGGGTGGGTGGGACACAGGGGTACGCATACCCCTAAACATTTTGTGAATCTTTGTACTTTTGTCCATTTACAATATTTATTTTTCCCTATTTGAACTATAAAATGATGATTTTCTTGAGTCAAAATGAAAATACCCCTAAACGTGATGGGTTTTTTTATAGAAAAAAAGCACCGTGTCAAATGATTTCTAAAACTACAGGTGAGATCACAGTTAAGGGCACACAGGACAATCTTCATCCGAAACTCGCACAAAGTAGAATGGGTGCGCTCTACACCCTCACATTTTTACAATATTTTATTACATAAGCACAGCCACAAGCTAAGCTTGGCATATCAGCCATTTACAGAACCTCCCACCCCAGCTGAATTTTCTCTTAATGGATAAAAACCATAACATACGTTCACCTGGACTTCCCCATGACCTTCACGGTACCAAGCATACTTACCCTGTATCGTAATGTTCCTCTTAAGAGAGTGTGAGCTGACTGAATGCCATAGGGTTTGGCATATTTTGTACTGTCCCTGTTTGGAAAACCTTCCAAATTTAATCCTGGGAAAAAATCCATGACAGTAACAGAATCAAGCAAAGCTCCTCCGGCTGGAATATTAATAATCTAAGGATTGTGAAAAACAATAGTCAGTACTATGTTTTATAACAGGAGTCCTCACAAGCACCAAGTCCCTATTCAGAAATGTCCGTCTCCCGTGAGAAGGCAGACTGTGGATTCCTTTCATTTCTACGCAGGAGGATCCCAAACCCATCCTCAACTTCCTGTTTTCCCTCCACACCTCTCAGTATAACTACCTATGCAAACATATCCTCCAGGCTCTCAACAAGAATCCATTCAAAACTATTTAGTTTATAAGATTAACAGCGTAACGTTCAGTTTAGCAAACCAGTTCTTCGCAATAAAAATTGCTCGGTTCTGGGGTGTCTTAAACCGGAATGATTATAAACTTTGATCCTAAACATTCAAAAATGCAAGTGTCACATGGAATTACAACATCACTGAAAGTCACAGGAATAAATTGTGTTAAGATTATGACGTTTAAGTGAATTCAGGGTATGCATAGGCTCCAGCTCTTGAACCCTGCCTGGCTCAAGCAGCCAATAAACACATCTCTCATATTACAACTCTGCAAACTCATGTTAAGGCTTTGGAGACACAGAGATATTTATGCTCAGAGCTATTTAGACACCAATGGTATCTCGTAAAATTTCAGAAGTGATCTTAAGTTATCTGATTGGACTACTTCAGACTGCAACCTAGAACAATCCCATCTGACAGCAAAGTTTATACATGGGATGAGTAAACCTGGGAAATAATCAGAGTCCACGGTAACAGCTCATGGCTACAGAACCTCACAATGACCCCAATTCTAAGGATATTAATGTTATTGGTCTTTTTAATTTGATAACCACAGAAGACCTCAGTAGGGTGAGTTATAAATAAATGCAGAAATGCATTTTAAATGAGAGCATCTACATGGAGTTGTCATAGAAAACAAGAAAATAAGAGACAGGCACTCTTCTACTAATCGTACTCATAAAAATAAAATACAAGAACATGAACCCCGAGGTGCTTCTGCACATTTTGAACTCCAGTAGAACTGGTTGAACCAGATCGCTACAACAGGAGAATAGATGCATGGGCAATGATACAGGCCTGGTGCCTTGGCCTTGCTCACTTGGCCTGAGATAACAGGGCACTCAGAATTATAGCCTCAGACATTCCAAGTGTTCCTATTCTCCAGGGACATCCCTGATTTACAGAAGCCGTCCCGGTTTCTGATTCAATCCTGGAATGTCCCACTTTTCCTTAGGATGTCCCTATTTTCATTGGAGAAATGTTGGAGGGTATGGCGTTATCTGACCCCTGAGCCGTCTGAAGGCAATCCTGTATGGGGAAGTGTTCTTTTTTAATGTTTTTATATATGTTGGAAGCTGCCCAGAGTGACTGGGTCAACCCAGTCAGATGTGTGGGGTATAAATAGTAAAATTATCGTTAAGGAATGGGACGTCCCTATTTTCATTGGAGAAATGTTGGAGGGTATGTAGCCTAAAACAGGGTGGGCAGAAGGTAGCCTAGGAACTACTGACAGGTCTCTGGGGGCCTAACAGTAGATTGGCAAAGACTTCGACTCCCAATTGTTTAATGAAAAAATATTTTACAGAGAGATTAGGTTGCTAAAATGAAAGCTGGGGGGACGGGACAGGATTGTGTTTTTGTGTGTGGCAGGACTGTGAGAATGATTCCAACACAAAAAAATAAATCCCAAGGCTACGACTGCACTCAGAGGCACTCTGTGCCTTAATTCTAAGCACGGTACATTCAGTCAAGGAGAAAAGACAGGAAAATAACTCATCAATTATTATTAGACTTAGTGATTCCCCATCTCTGCATTTTAACAGGTATATGAAGACAACTTCACCTCTCCATTTTTTAAATACGTGGCAGGTTGAACGGTGTTGAGCAGGACTCCCTGCGGACTCCAGCTGAATTTATATCTCAAGGGGTTGCCAGAATGTTCCGGAGCAGGCAGGCCACCACAGAAGGAAGTGTAAGACACCACCTGCAGATGAAGAAAAGGAGTTGTCTCCAATTAAACTATATCCGTCCAAAAGCTCCAGGTTCATTCGGCACAGCTTTATTCTGCATTGCTGAGCCTGCAATTCCATACCCAAGTCTTCATTTAGCAGTATCCATACTTTGTTTACAAAATGACCTACTTGAGGCAACGTACAATATATTTGCAACACAGCAAAACAGATGACAACACGCTAGTTACCAGAGCAGGCCAAAAGATTGATACAAGTCCACCCCATGGCCATAACAGTTCTCCAACATCCCAGCTGCCTCCTAGTCTGGAAGCAGACAGATGCTCATCACCCCACAGGCCCAACACAGCTGTGGGGGGGCAGAGTCAACTTTCCCCTGAACTAATGTACCTAGAACATGGGACTCATGTACCAAGGACTAAGCCTTGCAGAACTCATGGGGGCTTCCATATGAGTGGAATGTCTTCCACTGTATGTCTTCGGCTGCCATCTTCGCTGTGAATTTCCAGGCACATCTTGAAAACATGTGCTGACAGGCAGGGCTTTTCTGTAGCCGGAACTTGCCGGAACTAATTTCCGGCACCTCTCAGGCGAGCACCATTTTAGGAGAACCTGGGAGCTGCTTATGGTGAGTTCTGGTAACCCTTTCTAGAAAAATACCACTGCTGACAGGCCTATTCACTTATCATGGGTTGCCATATGTCAAGAAGTAAAAACCAGGACACCCCAAAAGTTGCTGAGCTTCCAAAATTGTTGGAACTTTTTTTTACAAAATCACCAAAAAAACCCGTGATTTTTTGATTGACTTGCCTAAGATCCAGGACAATGCACTGCCTTTCGAACCTCGCCCCCCACCCCAGGCAGTTAATTCCGCCTTTGAAATCCCAGGAAAATCAGGACATATGGAAGCCCTAAATCATTTTAATCTTTTCTACTTTACTTCACCAAACCTTTATTAGGCATTACAAGTACAGGCCATCCTAAAACATCCATATATAATATTTTAAAATCTATGCAAATAAACAACCATGTAAAAATATGTAAAAACAAGGATTGTCATTGGAGTTTCTTCCCACTATATATAGTGCCATTCACCACTCCAAGAGATACTATTGATAAAAACTCATATTTTCTAGACGAGTCAGTCATTTTTATTTATAATGTTTCATAGTATCATTATACAGTGGTATCTCGGTTTTTGAACGTAATCTGTTCCGGAAGACCATTCGAGTGCAGAAACTTTCAAAAACCGAGGCGCAAATGGCAGTCCGCAACTTTAATAGAGAAAATTGAGAAAAGTAACATATAAACCAGTGGAAGCCATTCAACTTCTGAGGCGTGTTTGAAAATGGAAGCATTTACTTCCGGGTTTATGGCATTCGAAAACCGAAACGTTCATCAATGGAGACATTCAAAAACTGAGGTACCACTGTATACAGTTGTTCGCCATCTTGTTATGAGTGAGAGGCATACAAATATTTTTATCAATAAAATACGTTCCATTTATTTTGCCATTAGTGTGTGGACCCTCAGGTCCAGGCCTCTAGGCTCCTTTCTCTGGAACTTTCTCCAGGTCGTGCCCCTCAGTTGGTCCTGCTTCACACCCCGAGTGTTGTCCCTGACTGGATTGAGTCCTTGAACTCTGATCTTGCCTGTTGCTTGTCTGGATAGATGACACCGAGGGGATTGCAAGAGGGTGTGTTTGTGGAAAATAGCCAACTGTACAGAACACTTGCCTCTGGCTCCACCCACCTGGCAAGTGGCCCTCAAAAGGCTGAACAGAAGGGAACATGGCCCTCAGGTTCCCCACTTCTGGCCTATAGGACTGAACCCTTAATCTTGATTTATATTAGCTGGATCCCCTGTGTGCAATCGTACTCCTATATGGAATTCCATATTGGCCCAGAGATGCAAAGATGATAAAGACCCTACCAGAGAACAATGGCAGATCAAGCTGATGGATTATGCCAAAATGGCTAAAATGACCGGAAGAATCAGAAATCAGGAAAACCAAAATTTTAATAAGGAATGGAGAAAATTTATAGTTTATCTTAAAAACCATTCTAACCAGTTAAAATCGTTAGTAGGATTGGAATAACACTTGTAGTTTAATGGTGAATTTTGGACATAATGGAGAGGTTATTATAAAAGATGCAGAAGGAAACAATTAACAATAGGAACCACAAAGGGGAGGAAGGGAAGTCCAGGAGATTCTTTGGAATCTTGTTTCTATGTTGTACGTTGGATACGTGACTGTAAAGTTTTAATCTGAAAACCCATTTAATTAAATTTATTTTTTAAAGGAATTCAAAGGAAATTGCCTGGACTTCACTTCTATTCTACCACCCTGTCTCTGTGTGAGGCAGTAGCTGATGCGTAAGTGAAAAAGGAAGAAAATACAAAATTTTAGATTTGGAGCTGGGAAGGGCTGGAAGGAGTGGGATGTTCTAAGCCCAGTGGGTGACAGCTGATAAACCCACAACAAAGGAGGTATTATAGAATAGGAGCGGTGCAGAGGGGAAGACCTCTGAACAGATTGATTACTTATTAAGCTTACCGTAGCCCCCACTTCTTTCGCTTTATCAATACACTCCATCGCCAGCATATGATCAAGCCCAGGATCCAGACCCATTTCACTGATAACGGTAATGCCAGCCACCTCGACACTGAAATAAGAGGGTGTATCATTTCAAAACAAGAATCCTGTAACAGGGCATCTTTACAGACCAAAACAACATGCCCCCAAGATTTCCAATGGGGAAATTGAGGCACAGCATCGCTCTGTCAATCTGGGATGTCCCGCTTCAATTGGGACACTTGGGAGGCACCGAAACACAAATCAAGCTCAATGGTTCACAGACAATATGAGTACAGATAGGGGACCCACATCCAGACAACTGAATCTGTGCACCCCTTTTTTATAAGCAGAGCAAGGAGGAACAGGTCGCCCTTCTCCCATTGCTCTGCACACTTGAACAGAACTTAGAAAATATGACTGCGCCTTTCATTTGCATCAGTAAAGTTTAAACTAGCTGCCTTTGCTAAAGACTCTGTGGAGTCGCCAAATTCAATGTATTTTTCAAAACTTTTTTTTAAAGCATTTTTATATGTGTGCAGCTTCCACCTGAAGGGACGCGGGTGGCGCTGTGGGTTAAGCAACAGATCCTAGCACTTGCTGATCAGAAGGTCGGCGGTTCGAACCCCCGCGACGGGATGAGCTCTGGTTGCTCAGTCCCTGCTCCTGCCAACCTAGCAGTTCGAAAGCACGTCAAAGTGCAAGTAGATAAATAGGTACTGCTCTGGTGGAAAGGTAAACAGCGTTTCCGTGCGCTGCTCTGGTTTGCAAGAAGCAGCTTAGTCATGCTGGCCACATGACCCGGAAGCTGTACGCTGGCTCCCTCGGACAGTAGAGCGAGATGAGTGTTGCAACCCCAGAGTCGGTCACGACTGGCCCTAATGGTCAGGGGTCCCTTTACCTTTACCTAGGTGCCACCTGTTATCTATATCATGAGTTCTGAGCCACCAGTGGACTGTAAAAAGGGACCTTTGAGGAATGGTTGCTGAATGGGTGCAAGCAGTGGTACTTGCCACAGTGACACTATTTTCGCAATGCATGTTCCAGCATCGAGTCAAGAGATGTACATGAAAGATCTGGCTGGGTTTTCCCAGCCACTCTGGGTGGCTTACAGCACATTAAAAATTGTAAAACGTTAGACATTTTAAAATTCCTGATACAGGGTTGCTTTCTCCCTTTAGCAGGGAGAACATAAGACAGACTTACCTTTCCTGCAGCTCTTTCATAGCAGGTGTCAGGTAACTGGCAGTAACCATATTCACCTTGTTGTCAATGCACTTCTTAGCAACCACAGGATGGAATGCGTAAGGCAGTAAGCTAAAAAGAAAAATGTGAACTTAGGGTGACCTGCTCTATCCTTGACTCTCAAGAAGAGAAGAGTTTGGATTTGATATCCCGCTTTATCACTACCTGAAGGAGTCTCAAAGTGGCTAACATTCTCCTTTCCCTTCCTCCCCCACAACAAACACTCTGTGAGGTGAGTGGGGCTGAGAGATTTCAAAGAAGTGTAACTAGCCCAAGGTCACCCAGCAGCTGCATGTGGAGGAGCGGGGAAGCGAACCCGGTTCACCAGATTACTAGTCTACCGCTCTTAACCACTACACCACACTGGCTCTCAAGAGGCATGTTACCAACAAGGGAACCATTCCTGCATGGTCATTCACCTCAAGGGACAACCTATGTGTAGCACAGTATGGGGAAGACAATTCCATGCAAAATATTAAGTCCTGGTTTTTATAATGATGATAAAATGAAAGGGTCACCCATGAATGAGGGAGCCACAACCAGTTCTGCAGTATCCTTGTCAAGCATGCAGTTGAAAGAATGGGCTTCTCTCTCAAATACACACTTCAGTGCATCTTTTAAAAGCGTTAACACATGAAGGAACACCCGGTAGTTGCATTTTGGGCTTTTCCACAAAAGCATCCTCTTCTAGCCTGAAGTTCAGTACCATCACTACCAGGTAAAATCGTCAAGAGCTAACCTGGCCCATTGCACCCACACCATGGGGAATCCCTGAAGCACCTACACCATGGGTAGGCAAACTAAGGCCCAGGGCCGGATCCGGCCCAAACGCCTTCTAATTCCAGCCTGCGGACAGTCCGGGAATCAGTGTGTTTTTACATGAGCAGAATGTGTCCTTTTATTTAAAATGCATCTCTGGGTTATTTGTGGGGCCTTCCTGGGTTTTTTTACATGAGTAGAATGTGGCCTTTTATTATGCATTTCTGGGTTATTTGGGGCATAAGAATTCATTCGTTGTTTTTTTCCAAAATATAGTCCGGCCCCCCACAAGGTCTGAGGGACAGTGGACCGGCCCCCTGCTGAAAAAGTTTGCTGACCCCTGATCTATGCGATCACCAGAACATACTGACCTGATAACAAGGTTGTGCTTCTTCACCATGGCCTCTAATCTCTTCTCGTCTTCGGTGACATCCACAACGACAGGAACAACGTTGCTGTATTTCTTAGCCAGCTGCTCAAGTTGTTTCTTCATGACAGATGCTGTCGTAGAGCAAGAACATTGGCTGAAAGCGGTAGACAAGACTTCCTCCTCTTGAGCTCCCATTAAATAAGCATTCAATCAACCTCTCAGCAAGTTTTAGACAACTTAGTCATGTAGTGTCATGCAACCTCGGCAGGACTAATTCTGTATAAAACGGGGGGAGGGGTGCCTGGTTTAAATTTAGAAGCTTTCAGAGAAATTAACTGGACCCCGGATAGCATGGGTTGCTGCTCTTCCTTGTTTTAAAGAGTGTGTCATGGAATATTTTTTTTGATGAGGGGGTGGATTTTCTTTACTGGTAGATTCCCCTTTTCTGTATAAAATTGTGACATATTGCCACCAGGAAGAATGAACCCCCTTCTCCACCCCCTCCTCTGTCCAGCTGCCAAGGGAGCCTTCGGGACTCCACATTCCCAGGACCCCTCCCTTTCGCCCAGTGTTAGAAATTCCCAAGGGATCAGACGCATTTTGCAATTGCCACAGGTCCAATTGCGACCACATGGAGATTTCTGGATACCAGGCTAAGATCTCCATCCGACTGGGCCTTCAGCTTTCTTAAAGGTAAAGGTAAAGGTAAAGGGACCCCTGACCATTAGGTCCAGTCGTGACTGACTCTGGGGTTGCGGCGCTCATCTCACTTTATTGGCCAAGGGAGCCGGCGTACAGCTTCCGGGTCATGTGGCCAGCATGACTAAGCTGCTTCTGGCGAACCAGAGCAGCACACAGAAATGCCGTTTACCTTCCCGCCAGAACAGTACCTATTTATCTACTTGCACTTTGACGTGCTTTCAAACTGCTAGGTTGGCAGGAGCAGGGACCGAGCAACGGGAGCTCACCCTGTCGCGGGGATTTGAACCGCCGACCTTCTGATCAGCAAGTCCTAGGCTCTGTGGTTTAACCCACAGCGCCACCCACGTCCCGTCTTAAGCCTATTCTTAAGCCTATTTCTTTGCATTTACATCCCACCTTTGTCTTCAAGGAATACATGGTCTCCCCCCCCCCCCAGGTTAATCCCTATAATGACCCTGCGAGGTAGGTTAAGAGGCTGTGACCGACCCAAAGTCACCCACTCAGTTTTGGTAAATCCATTCCAGAACTTTGCAAGACCCAACTAAAACTAAGCTAATCCATGCAGGCAAAGCAGTACCTGTTCTAGGATAAAGGCTCAACGAAGAAACTGTTAGTGGGGGAAAGAAATCAAGAAGATCAACGAATGAAAAACTAAAAGATGGCTAGGTCTTAGAAGCTCTAAGCCACTCACTCCTACGAAAGTCTCCACCAACAGAGGTGGGCATTGTAATAGCCAGCAGGCCATGTTTGACAGCCAGCCTTTGGTACAGCTTGCTAACTAGAGGTCTTGTTTAAACAAACTAAATTTATAGCACTCGTGACTGTTGAGAACATGATGGAATTGTGCCTGAAATACTCAGATTTATTTATTTTAATAGCCTGAGTTTCCGATCTGTTAGCTTTCAAATCTCTGTGTTGTTATTCTGAAAAAATTATGCTAATATAGGATCTGGGAAAGTTCATAAAATAACCTATAGAAACAGAAAGGAAAACAATGTCTTCCAATAATAAGGCTCAGAAGCAGATAACCATTCCATGTAAGATGTTGAAAATCTGGATTTGCAAAAGATATTGCACTGTTTGTTTCCCTCTCGGGCAAGTATCTAATGTACGTATACATTCAGGCTTCAAGACACACAGAAGATGAAACCAAGTCCACAGCCATCTCCTTCGAGACACCCGCTTGCCTTTCTGCTTTGACCAGCTTCCTTAAGACATAGTGCCTAACAGACAGGATACAGTAGGTACACGTCACAGTAAACCATACATGAGCCAGTCAAACTCCTTTGAGCCTCTCTTCCTACTGTGGAGAAACAAACCACAATACCTGGCTGAGCATTATATCTGAGTCAGGGTTTATTTCACCCTCAACAAACCACAATATGTAGAAAACAGTCTGTGGTTTGTTTCTTCCATGTGCTAATGGAGGGGAGCAAAGGAGCCTAGAGAAGCGCATTCACAGAAAGCCATTTACTACGGTTTACTGTGGCATGCAAATTTACTACAGTTTACTGTGACATAAAAAATGGGCCAATGCAGTCACTCTGTGAACAGAAGGAGCCTTTGTACTCAAGGAAACCTGTGAACTTAGAAAGGCCCTTTCCATCAGTGTAACTCTCCCCACATGAGCAGAAATCCCAGCCCTCAGAGCCCTAGAAGCCTTCAAAATGGAGTTGCTTCCATGGGCATGATGTGTATTTGCCTTTCGATGAACTGAGTGGAAGGCTACGAGTCATAGGCACGGGGAGAGTTTGTGTGTGAATTCAACAGTGCTTGGTTTGATTTTGGCTGTTGGTTTGTTAATGCTGTTAATCTTGTTTTGTGGATTTGGAGAGCTGTAATGCTTTGCAAATTTTATAATGTGACTTTTCCTGGGGTTGTCCTTTTTAGCCTATTTTTTTGTTTCGTTAAGAGTATTTTACAGAAGGTGGCTGTTTTACTGATGATTTGTTAATTGTTTTATACAATTCATGTTGCCATGTTCTACTATGTGGATATATTTATTGTATGTAAGCCAAGGGCCTTCTCGGTGGTGGCGCCCGCCCTGTGGAAATCCCTCCCATCAGATGTCAAGGAAATAAACAACTATCTGACTTTTAGAAGACATCTGAAGGCAGCCCTGTTTGGGGAAGTTGTTAATGTTTGATGTTTTATTGTGTTTTTAATATTCTGTTGGGAGCTGCCCAGAGTGGCTGGGGAAAACCAGCCAGATGGGCAGGGTATAAATAAATGTATTATTATTATTATTATTAATATTATGGCCTCATGTGAGCGAAAAGCGTATGGAGCTACAATGCTAGATCTCACCCAATGGCTGTACTTTGTAATGAAAAATAAGGAGCACTGATCTGAGTATCAGGTATGTTGGGACTTTAAACAGGAAATATTTACTTATACAAAGGCAACACTCTCAACTCCTTTGTGCTTCTAATGCTACGGTGTTATTTACAAACCTGCTGTTATTTCAATGTTGGGGTCTCTCGTGAGGTATTCTATCACAGGCCCCGAGACATAGCCAGATCCAAGTATCAAGATCTTCTTCTTTTTATCCATGGTCAGTGACTGGGTGTACTCCCTAGAAGAGACAAAAGTCAGTAAAGAGAATAAGTCAACAAAACAGGCTTCAACAACTGGTATGTTTTAAAATAAGTTTTGAAAGCAAGAAGGAGCTCTCTTTAACATGATGGTTTCGATCCAGTCTTCCAAAAATTCTAACATTAGCCAAAACACTTTCAGCCTCAATTAGGAGTGGAAAAGTAACCAGACGAGCACTGCAAAATATTAGGTCTCCAGCCCACAGCTCTGGGGTCTGCTCTGCATTTATTTTTTTTATGTTTTCAAGGAAAACTATGAAAATTACTCCTGGCATATCGTCTCTTTAAAACACTTTTGAATGTGCTTTTCTGTGCTAATTTTGTTTTGCTAAATTGCATCGTTATGATCATGATCAATATGAAAATAAAAAGTAAAAACTCTGGCTTTTAAAGGCTCCAGGGAAGAGAAGTGGCTCAGTGACAAAAAATCTTCCTTGCAGGATAAACCTGGATAAACACTACCAGTCCAGATAGACTAGGACAGTCCAACAAGCAGTCTTTGGGCCTTTTTTGATGGACTCTGGGACCCTGCCAGGGTCTCAGGCCACCCCACACATGACAAGATGCGGGTTCCGTGTCAAAGCTCTCTTGCAACCCCCTTGGCATAAATAGTCGGGCTGCCCTGGTGTAGACAACACTCGGCTACATTGACTAATGAACTTTTTTAAGTTACTGAATCTTAGAATAAGGAGGCATGAACAAAGAAAGCATTCCTCTTACAGCCCTTGGATAGGCAAAAAGGTAAACATAAAGGAACCCTGGACGGTTAAGTCCAGTCAAAGGCGACTATGGGGTTGCGCTGCTCATCTCGCTTTCAGGCCAAGGCAGCCGGCATTTGTCCACAGACAGCTTTCCAGGTCATGTGGCCAGCATGACTAAACCGCTTCAGAACACCGTGACAGAAACCAGAGTTCACGGAAACACTGTTTATCTTCCCGCCGCAGCGGTACCTATTTATCTACTTGCACTGGTATGCTTTTGAACTGCTAGGTTGGCAGAAGCTGGGACAGAGGAACGGGAGCTCACTCTGTTGTGGGGATCTGAACCGCCAACCTTCCGATTGGCAAACCCAAGAGGCTCAGTGGTTTAGACCACAGTGCCACCCGTGTCCTTGGATGGAGGAACCAGGTCCCTACAGGCTGTGTGTCTTCAAGGTTTGGGCTTTGACATATTTTAAGGATGAAAGTTAGGGAAGCCTATCCCTCCCCAACATGAGAACTGAAACACTAAAAAGAGAGAAAAAGCTGAGAACCTAGAACAAGGAGCCTCATCCTTTGCCTTCTACTCCCTGTTGGACTGCAACTTCCAGTACCACAGAGAAGTGGGGAACCAAAGACTATCAGGAGGGCAGCTGGGTCCCCAATCCCTGAGCTAGATCTTTTTAAAGATCTCAAGAACTTTCTCCTGAGGTTGCTCAGTGGATAGATTTTGTTCTCATCTTCTGGAGCTACACTGGAGTACACTGTTTCCCGTGTACAAGATCAGAAAGGAATTTTCCCATGTAGCTGAGATCTGTTCACTGTTGTCTCTGGCTGTATTTCAATTCTATTCTTTTGCAGCCAGTTCCTTCATTTGAACACTGCCTCCTCCTCAGCACAGTCCCCCCCCCCCGAAGTCAATTTTTTCTAGTGAAAACCACCCCGTTTAATTTTTTCCCCAAGAGACCTGTGGGGACCCCATGGCATTCTTTCAGCAAACTCACAGAGGAAAGAAATTATCGAAATGTGGAATCGTTAACACATCTCTGAACAACCTGCAGAGAAGGTCCCCAAGTTGACTTCTGCATCAGCGCCATTAGAATAAATACTTGTGACAGCCGTGCCACACACATGCTTCGCCACAGAAAACAAGGTAGGAATAACCCATGAGCATTGAAACACAATATGACACAACAATTCAAAACTTTAGTCAGATATACTGGGGGTGGGGAGAGAAAGCTATATTACCTGCGCTCCCTCAGTTTCTGGATATATTTATACTTATCAGTCAATGAACCATTGGATGCAATCACTGCCTACAAAAGTATACGAAACACATCATTACTTTCCTGGCGGCTGACCTCGCCATGCCCAAGTTAAGAGAGAAAAAAAGGAGTCAATTGGCTTGCAAGACTTACGTCTCTAACTACAGGTGAGTAATTCTGGCTTTCAAGGGGCTCCGAGGCTTCAGATAACAGCTGTGGAGATCAAGGTTTCCCGTCAGAGCACTTGCTTTCAGACAGATAATTATCTTTCACAGATAAGAGTCTCGGAAAAGTATATTTCATTAAAAACAAGGCAACCGTCAAGATTTAAACTGAGATTAAAATGCAGACTGTGTTGCTAGTCAGGCTACTTCGAAGACCTGAAATTCTCCTGACCTTCAATTGTCAATTAAATTCTTCTTCCTAGATTCACTTTCCCCTTCCACCCCGCTTCACAGAGCCGCTGTGCCACCGTTTAGGCAAGATATAATACGCATGAAACAAATCTTGTTGCTGTGTATATCTATATCGCGTGAAGCCGGCAAGCAGGACCAACAGGCTGGAGAACCGAGTCAGGATTAGGGGGAAGGCCAAAAAGACAAGGGACAAGTTCTATTTGTGGTTTCCTTAGTAGAGATTTGGGAACCACTAATCAAGACAGACATGTGCAACTCTGGAAATCTCATTCTTTCACCTATACAAGAGCTAAAGTTAAGAGACAGGGTGGCTGGGGAAAGCTCTCCTAACTACACAAAGTGGTGATAAGCGATGAGATTGTATTTGCTGACTGACCAGAGAAGAGATAAGTTAACACTGGCGAGTTAGCTGCCCAGGGCTGCTCCAAGATATTTTCCTGCCTCAGGTGATGCAGCAACTTGTCTCCCCAAGATGCACAGTGCTAACTCTCAGTGTTAGAAACTGAGATATGAAAGCTAGGAGCTAAGTGGCGCCCGAAACTGAGGTTACAGGCACAAGAACAGAATGGCTGGGCACTTGCTTTTTTAAAAAATAACAAAAATACAAAGCTGAAAATGAATGAACTGCAGCTAAAATATTATGTTCATTTACACAAGGTCTAGTCCTTCCCCTGCCCAACCCCTAATATTTTTAAGAGGGTCTCTTCTCCAGTCTTCGGAGAGTAGCTGGAAGTGGGGAGGCAGAAAAAGGTCGCCCTTTCCTTCCACTCTACAGTTTTAATCAAAAATCTCAGGTGCAGGGCTGCGCCCAGAGCACAGAAACTGATGAAATTCCCTGTCGCAAAATGTGCCTAGATACAATGGGAGTTTCAAACACTGCTTAATGCTGGCCTGAGACATTTTGGTGCCTGAGGTGACAAACAAGATGGCGCCCACAGCCACTTCCACACACAGCAGCTCATGGGACGGGAGCTGAATCTTATTTCAAAACGGGTTACAGGATTATGTCCCCTACTGCACCTGGACCAAGGCTCGGGAGAGGCCATGTGTAAACAGAGGAGGGTGACCAGGGTCTCAGGGAGAACAGCCAGGGGCTACTGCTGCTGCAACTGCCTCTGGGAATATGTCTCCTGAGGTAGTTGCCTCACTCTTGTCTGGCTGTTTTGTGGTAACTCAAAAACCGGGTGTTTTTTATGGTTACGGCCTATGTCTACGCAAAGCTCCACAGAACACATACACTTCAGTTCAGACGGTCTTACTTCCAGTATATTACAGTGGATCCTCAGGTTATGTTACCTTCAGGTAACATAGCTTTCGGGTTGCAAACACAGCAAACCCAGAAGTGTATTCTTCTGGGTTTCGCCGGACATACATGCGTAGAAGCGCTTTATTGCACCACGCATGTGCGCAGAAGCGGCGCCTCTACTTGTGGATTTTTCAGGGTACATACAGACCCCTGGAATGAATTACCGTACATTCGTATCCAGAGGGTCCACTGTATTATTATTTATTAATTAAATTTATTGGTCACTTTCTCTTGCCATGCATAGGATTGTACAGTTAATCACTTGAATTATTACAAGCATATACAAAAGGCCTTTAATGAACAGCAAAAAGAAATTGCTATACAGTATTTATAAGATAATCATTTCCCCCTCTTTTTAATTCAACAGGGAATTGGAAGTGGTCAGATTATGTGACGATGACCTGTGTCAAAAGAAAAAATGTTACAGGGGCTCTACACCACAGTGCAGAACACTGTATGGAGGGTAGATGGTTTGTGGCATTCTCTCACTTTTTGCAGCAGCAGATATTCGCAGGAAAGCTCTTGCTGCCATTAAGGGAGCCCAGGACTCTTGGAATTTCTTGCTTCCAGTCTACACAACAACCATTAACACTCTCTAAGCAGCCACTTATGACTCATCCAAAGCCATTAACACACAGCTTCAGAGAAGAGTTGAAAAACAATGACCAGGAAGAGGGGTATATAAATGTCACCTGCTGGGCCTTGACTGCAAGGGCTTCCTAAGCTCAAGGGCAGAGCATCGGATCTGCATGCAAAAGATCCCTGGTTCAATCCAGTGCGGGCTGGAAAAGACTGGTATGAAGCCCTGGAGAGATGCCAGTCAGTATATAGACAGGGGTGGAGAACTTTTTTCCACTCCAGAGCTACATTCCCGGCAACCTCGAAATTAAGGGTATGCGGCTGTTTATAGATGTTCTTTTTGTTCTGAATTCAACGGTTTGACCGATTTCTTTGGTTCCAATGGCTAATGACTCCTCTGGAAGAGGGGAATCCAGGGCTCCCCCTGCCCCCATAATCCCATAAACATAAGGTCACATACTCCTTGCCCCTCCATAGGTGTAAACTTAGCCTCACAATAGGAGGCAGGAGGCGATCAAGGGCAGATCATACCCTAGACAGAAATCCATCAGGATGGTGGATACTTTCAAAGGCGAAGCGCAGGAAAGCCTTGCAGCTAGCTTTATTGCTCTTTGGGAAAGAGGGTAGTTAAAAGGTGTTGAGAACTGGGGCTGTTGACAGGAGTGGGTGATGGGCTCATGTTTCTACATGGCAAACACTCCTACTTTGTGACATATCTGTGATGTATCAATGATGCTGTTGAAAAATGTATTGTGGAAAATGGGGAGAGGACTTTGTGCGTTTGAACGTTGTTGCAACAAATAAGGATCAGGTCTACTGACTGCTGTTTTGCTTCTTTAACTTGATTGCAGACTCATCCTTTGCTGTCCAGAGAGATCCACGGGGAGTGGCACCACAATAAGCTGGACAGCGGAACAAATCCACACCCCAAGATTTTTTTCCTTATCAGCCTGAATCCCATGTACAGTGGTACCTCTGGTTATGAACTTAATTCATTCTGTAAGTCTGTTCTTAACTTGAAACCGTTCTTAACCTGAGGTACCACTTTAGCTAATAGAGCCTCTTGCTGCCGCCACGCCGCCACCGCCGCGCAATTTCTGTTGTCATCCTGAGGTAAAGTTCTTAACTTGAGGTACTACTTCCAGGTTAGCAGAGTCTGTAACCCGAAGTGTTTGTAACCTGAGGTACAACTGTAGTGAACATGATGTCTTGTCACAACACAGCCACTAAGATTTGGGTATTAGCAGGAAATGAATTTTCACACACACACACACACACACACACACACACACACACAGAGTTAATTCCCCTCTGAAAAAGAACACTTATGCAACTGGCCAGATCATACCTGTGAAAAATGCATACTGTAAAGAATCAAAATTCTATTCATCAAAATGGATAAATACATTTATTGGAACGGCTCTTTTAAGAGAGGTCTGCACAACTTTCCATGTCACCTGTGTTTAGTAGCCATAGGTTTCAGAAGACGAGGGGGAAAGGTCCCGCCAAAGACTGTTATTTGAGAAGTTTCTACCTTGTGTAGTCTGAATTAGTTTCTAAGAAACACTTCATTTCTGCCAGTTAAGTTTTACAGCAGATTTCCTACCTACGGGGCAGGCCAGAAGCTCCCCAATGCACAAACACGTAAACACTCAAAATAGAAACAAGTTGCCCACTTACCATCTCTTCAATGTAAGGGAAAAGCATGTCTCCAAAGCATTCAGTTGATTCTATAGGAAGCTGAGCTGGCAGATTGTCAATGGAACACATCAAAATCCCTGATCCTTCCACACTAGAAGAGACAAAAATTTGAATCCAGGCAATAAAAGCTTTGTGCACTATTTCTCTCTTTTTATAAAAACATTTTAAAGTGTTTTTTTTTTTACACAAATGTTTTTGCCTGGCGCCTAAAGCTATGATAGGAAGACGAGCCTCTCTGGCATGCTACAAGTGGGGAGCCACTGCAGAAAAGGCTCCTTGCACCCCTCCAGGCCTCTCCTGGAGGAGACACTTGAAGAAGGGTTTCAGATGATGATCGCAGGGTCTAAGACATAGCTGTCAACCTTCCCTTTTTTTTGCGGGAAATTCCTTTATTCCAGCGCTGTTTCCTGCTGCTTCCCGCTGCTATCCCGGATTGTCCCGTAGACTGTTCCCGGGACAGGTGAGGCTGCTGATCCCTTATTTTCAAGGCTGCTGATCCCTTATTTTCAAATCTGAAAGTTGACAGCTACGGTCTAGGAAGTTTCCTACGGGGAGAGGCAGTCTTTGTGCTATTGTGGCCCACACCCACTTAAGGCTTTACAGTGGAACCTCAGGTTGCAAACGTGATCTGTGCAGGAGACATGTTTACAACCTGCCGCGCTCGCAACCCGCAGCGCTGCATCTGTGTCCATGCATGACGCGATTTGGCGCTTCTGCGCATGCGCAAGTGCCGAAACCTGGAAGTAACCCATTCTGGTACTTCCGGGTTTTGGCGCGTCTGTAACCTGAAACAGTGCAACCCAAAGCGTCTGTAGCCCAAGGTACCACTGTATAGGTCAAAACCAGCACTTTGTATTGGGCCCAGAAACTAATTGGCAGCCAGTGCGTTCTGACCAGGATTGGTTTTACATGCTCAAACCATCTTTTCTCTGTGAGCAACCTGGCAGCTGAATTCTGCACCAGCTGAAGTTTCCGAACTGTCTTCAGAGGCAGTTCCACTTCTCCCCACCAAGAATCACAGAATCATAGAGTTGGAAGAGACCACAAGGGCCATCGAGTCCAACCCCCTGCCAAGCAGGAAACACCATCAGAGCACTCCTGACATATGGTTGTCAAGCCTCTGCTTAAAGACCTCCAAAGAAGGAGACTCCACCACACTCCTTGGCAGCAAATTCCACTGTCGAACAGCTCTTACTGTCAGGAAGTTCTTCCTAATGTTTAGGTGGAATCTTCTTTCTTGTAGTTTGGATCCATTGCTCCGTGTCCGCTTCTCTGGAGCAGCAGAAAACAACCTTTCTCCCTCCTCTATGTGACATCCTTTTATATATTTGAACATGGCTATCATATCACCCCTAACCTCCTCTTCTCCAGGCTAAACATGCCCAGCTCCCTTAGCCGTTCCTCATAAGGCATCATTTCCAGGCCTTTGACCATTTTGGTTGCCCTCCTCTGACACGTTCCAGTTTGCCAGTGTCCTTCTTGAACTGTGGTGCCCAGAACTGGACACAGTACTCCAGATGAGGTCTGACCAGAGCAGAATACAGTGGCACTATTACTTCCCTTGATCTAGATGCTATACTCCTATTGATGCAGCCCAGAATTGCATTGGCTTTTTAGCTGCCGCGTCACACTGTTGGCTCATGTCAAGTTTGTGGTCAACCAAGACTCCTAGATCCTTTTCACATGTACTGCTCTCAAGCCAGGTGTCACCCATCTTGTATTTGTGCCTCTCATTTTTTTTGCCCAAGTGCAATACTTTACATTTCTCCCTGTTAAAATTCATCTTGTTTGTTTTGGCCCAGTTCTCTAATATGTCAAGGTCGTTTTGAAGTGTGATCCTGTCCTCTGGGGTGTTAGCCACCCCTCCCAGTTTGGTGTCATCTGCAAATTTGATCAGGATGCCCTTGAGTCCATCATCCAAGTCATTGATAAAGATGTTGAATAAGACCGGGCCCAAGACAGAACCCTGTGGCACCCCACTAGTCACTCTTCTCCAGGATGAAAAGGAACTATTGATGAGCACCCTTTGGGTTCGGTCAATCAGCCAGTTACAAATCCACTGAGTGGTAGCATAGTCAAGACCACATTTTACCAGCTTCTTTACAAGAATATCATGGGGCACCTTGTCAATCCTATTTTGTGCAGGAAGGCCACCGACCTTCCAAAGTGGCTTTTTTTGTGTGTGAGTGACCTTCCTGCACAAAATAGGAATGCAAGAAGTTTCCTCTAGTGCATTTTGTTAAGCTACTTAACCTCCAAGATCCAAGTCCGTGCATGCTTGGAGACACATCAACTGTATCAATCACAATTAAATGCAACACTACGAAATAACTGTGTGTTGCTTTAAAACTGAGTTTTTCAACACAAAAGAAAATTAGGAAGACCCTCTCACCTGTCGTGGATAATATGCTGATCGGCATCATACATGCAGAAGGGGCTGTCTATTGTTGTACATTCTGTCATAAATTCTATAGACCCTCCAGTGTCTGCAGAGATGTCACATATTGCAACAAGTCTATTAAAAAAAACAACAGCCACATAGCCAATAAATGATTTTCAGTTTTTTAAAGTCTTAAAGATACAACTCCCAAGTGAACTGCCATCAATAATGTCTGAAGAAATCAACAGCCGAACAAGACAGATTTAGTCTGCCATTAGTACTCAACAAAATACTCTCCTCAGGGAACCTTAGTAAAGATTTCAAACAGGGGATGGTTCTAGACCAGGGTTTCCTAAAATTTGGTTCTCTAGCTGTTTTTGGACTACAATTCCCATCAATCCCAAGTTAGCAAGACCCGTGGTGAGGGATGATGGGAATTATAGTCCAAAAAACAGCTGGAGAACCAAGAAGTAAAGCTCTGCTGGATGAAATACAATTGCCTCTGGTCTATTTTTGGGGAATCCTGCAATGTGTTTAAGTTTTTACTCTGCTAATTATACATCAGAGTTCTACTCTGGATCAATATTGAGTAGAATTCCATGACAGAACAAACTTTAAGCCAAGTCAAATTTTTAGCTCTGGCCCCACCCACTTCTAGTTTCAGTCCCCATAAGATTGCCTCTGAGCAAATACAGTCCTCAAAAGAAAAACAAAACAGAGGATCCCCAGCACCGATTTCACTGATGCCTGCTATCACCAAATACAAGCTTCTTACTTGTGTGGCAATTGTGGGCATCCCTCAGTAGCAGCAGCAGAAGGTCGCAGAGGAGCCAGAAGTCGCTGCGCATCCTGCCTGCTTAGCAGCCGTGGAGTATGCTGCTCCCAGTAGATCCCATTGATCACGCAAGTAGCGTAAGGTGCAATCTGTAAAATAAAGCTGCAATTTCTTCTTATCCTGTAAGGAACCAACACCTTGATCCAAATAGTTAACTATGTGATTCAATAACTATGTGATGCAAATCCTTGATGCTGATAGCATGCCTCACTTTATCATCTGGTCATGGAACCAGGAGGTTCTCTAGATGCAACAGGCATCTAGACAATCATCAGCTTAAATGGAAAACGAGCGAGGTCCCAAATAAAGAATGGGAACTTTAAGCTGATAGAATGTGAACAGCTTGCAGACTTAACACACAGAATAAGAGAACAAGAAGAGCATACGTTTAAAGAAGACTGGAAAACGTTTATTGAATATATGGGGGGGGGGGAATTATGCACATTTGAAAACATGGGCAGCATTAAGATAAATTCAACCGTGTAAGTAAGTTTTGATGGATGTAATAACAGAATACTGAATGGTTTAGTTTTTGTAAAATACGCAGGGATTTATGATATGCAAAATGAACCATGGAAAGAGAAGAAGGGAATGCATGGATATTTTAAGGATGCTTAAATGAGTATTCTAAATTGTAAAACAGAAAAATTATATATATGAGAATCATCAGCTTAATTTTTTTTTTTAAAGAAAAGCACATTGGTCACATGAGCTACACCGACAGGAAATTGGGTGTCGTGGGTAACAGAGGTCATGGTAATTATAGGGCAGAGGCTGACTCTCTTGGAACACTTAAGGGTACAATAATGGGAGAGGTGTACTCACATCCGTGTTGAAACGAGAGGTGTAGTGTTCTGGGTGCTTGTCATAGTCCACCGGGTCATACACACCATCGGTCTTCCTTATAAGATGGTGGTGTCGACTCAACACCGTCCCGTAGACTTTTCTGAGGTCTGTGGAGAGGAGCACTGTAAATAAAAGAGAAACAACGTACCCCGCAGAGCTTCTGAAGCCCATCCCAGAATACCCTACCTCCAGTTCGAGAGACCTCCTTCAGCTCATGGGGCTCCACAAACTCACAAGGGAGGGCATTGAACATTTCTTGGGCACCCTGTGGATAAAAGTAAGACTGATAGTGAGGTTAGATTTACCAAAAAATAAATAAAATGCAAGGTATTGGGCAGTCACAGGAACAACACTTCTGCCAAGGACTATCCTCTACACATGAGAGAGAGAGAGAGAGAGAGAGTGGTTCTGGATTTAAACCTGGAAGACTGGAGTTCAAATTGTGGAACTAGCACATCATTCAGTGTATGACCTCAGGCATCGCCTTCTGTCTGCTTTTGTCCAAGTTTTCTATCATATTATTCCAGATTGTATACTTGCTACCTAGACCTTCAACCATCCAACTCCTCCAAACCCTTTGCACCTTCTCCAGATGGTTGGGTGCTCCTCAAGGGCAGAAATCAAACAGCAGTGGCAGCATAAACACAGCTAGAGACCCACAGATCATGTTCATCCTACTAGTTTAAGGGGCTCAGGATCAGTGGAAGAACAAATGCCTTGCACAAAAGGTCACAGGTTCCAATCCCTGGCATTTCCAGGTAGGTCAGCAAGACTCCTAGCTGCTGTCAGTCCATGCAGACAATGACCAATGATCTGACTTAGACACAGACTTGGGACCAGTGTTAGAAACTTAGGCATATAAGCTAGGCACCATATGGCACCTTGCATCCCAACAACGAAATGTCTATTTGTCTATGACCCTTGGGGTCCCTTCCCATGCTACAATACTATGATTCTTTGATCTCAACTACACTGCTTGACAGCACCTTAAAAAGCAGAGACCTTGCCAACAAAGGTCCGTATAGTTAAAGCTATGGTTTTCCCAGTAGTGATGTATGGAAGTGAGAGCTGGACCATAAAGAAGGCTGATCGCCGAAGAATGGATGCTTTTGAATTATGGTGCTGGAGGAGACTCTTGAGAGTCCCATGGACTGCAAGAAGATCAAACCTCTCCATTCTTAAGGAAATCAGCCCTGAGTGCTCACTGGAAGGACAGATCATGAAGCTGAGGCTCCAATACTTTGGCCACCTCATGAGAAGAGAAAAGACCCTGATGTTGGGAAAGATGGAGAGCACAAGGAGAAGGGGACGACAGAGGACGAGATGGTTGGACAGTGTTTTCGAAGCTACCAGCATGAGTTTGACCAAACTGTGGGTGGCAGTGGAAGACAGGAGTGCCTGGCATGCTCTGGTCCATGGGGTCACAAAGAGTCGGACACGACTAAATGACTAAACAACAACAACACACTGCTTGACTGCAGCTTGCTCTTACAACAATTCACTCATCCCAGTATGCAAGAAGGAGAAACACACGCAGTGGAAATTAAAATTGTATCAACTGTGGAGTAAGGCCCAGTTGCCAACCTGGCTCCCAGAAATCTCCATGTGGTCACCACTGGACCCACGCCAGTAGCAAAACGCGCCTGGCTAATTTCGAACACTGACTTGGACCAATGATCTGATTCAATATAAGGCAGCTTCCTATGTTCCAGCCGTCACATGGGAAAATTTATGTGCACATCTCATTATTCCTGTGTGGAAGGAACAGAAATGCAGTAAAACGGGCCTATAGCTTTATTGGAAGATATGAACAAGCCTTATATGTACAAGAAGAAGCCAATATCTCAGTTGCAATGAGAAAATGTACTAGTGCCATGCATTTGAAGAATGCCTTACCTTAGACACGTTGCCGGTGCCTGTAAACACAAATGTTATGGGTCCAATAGACTTTGGCATCAAGCCTAGTGAAATTTCGTAACCAGCATCGCGGACTGCTTGGACAGCCTGGCTACTGTTTCTGTAGTTATGGGCCATACCAATGTGCTGAAACCAGGAAGAGATTAATGTCAGTAGGCAGCTGGACTGGTGACTGGGAGTGGCTGCCAAGACCATATTACACCGGTCCTTAAAGACCTACATTGGCTCCCAGTACGTTTCTGAGTACAATTCAAAGTGTTGGTGCTGACCTCTATAGCCCTAAAAGGCCTCAGCCCAGTATAGCTGAAGGAGCATCTCCACCCCCATTGTTCAGCTCAGACACTGAGGTCCAGCTCCGAGGGCCTTCTGGCGGTTCCCTCACTGTGAGGTTACAGGGAACCAGGCAGGGGGCCTTCTCGGTAGTGGCGTCTGCCCTGTGGAACGCCCTCCCACCAGATGTCAAGGAAATAAACAACTATCTGTCTTTTAGAAGACATCTGAAGGCAGCCCTGTTTGAAGCTTTATTCTGTTTTTGTGTTCTGTTGGGAGCCACCCAGAATGACTGGGGAAACCCAGCCAGATGGTTGGGGTATAAATAACAAAATGATGATGTTGTTGATGATGATGGAGTCAATAGGCCTTTGGGACAAATTAACAAAAATCTACCCATCCTACCCCTCCACTGCCATATTCCCCCGGTAATATATATATATATATATATATATATATATATATATATAGAAAGAGAGGGAGAGAGACTTACCATAAAAGGAGTATGATGCCCTAGGGCAAGAAATCGCAATCCCATTCCATGTAAAATGTTGATCATACCTGGTTCAGAATTACATAATACACAGTTAGTACAGTACACAGACTTATTAAATGCTGCAGCAGAGTCAAACTGGTGAGAGAAGTAAGGAAAATTAAAGGGAATTCTAGAGTCACAATGCCTCAAGGGACCAACGACCCATTTGCTCCAAGTGCCTGGGCAAGGCGGAACATCCACCACAAACCCAACAGTCATCCAAGCCCAAGGTGGATTTGATTTAAATCAAATCAATTTAAATCACGATTTAAATCATTAGTCAGTAAGACTTGATTTAAATCTTTTTTTTTCTTTCTTTTTTTTTACAGAAAGACTTGTTCTTGCTGGTATAATCTTAATATTTACGACCAGGTGACGGTTTCATTTTTGGAATAATAAAATTTCAGAGTAGTTTTTACAGTTATATCGAAAATTACTGATTTGATTATACTATTAGAAATACATAGACAGATAATTATGAAATCATTGTGAGGTTTAATAAGTTAACTGTTTCTATTTGGACTTTTTTGCTGTACTTTATTGGAAGGAGAAAAATAATCACTTCCTTAATAACAATTTAAAGAATTTATTTAACTCAAACATTAACATTATAGCATATGCATCCATGTTTGTTAACTGATGTGGTTAAACAATTTTGTTTTAAAAAAGAAGAAGCTTAGACTGAGTTTTAGTATACATGAAAAACTTAAAACAAATCCTTATTTCCTGATAGTTGCTTCAAACAGAATATTTTAGCGGGGGTTTCATTCTCCTGTTTCCCAAATGTGTCTTAGTATCTTTATTTTTAAAAATTAAAAAATAAGAAAGGCCATAATGCAATAGTGAAGCTCTTTGCATGCAAAAGCTCCCAGGTTTCACTGTGTCTAGTTATAAATGGATCAGGCAAGACCTGGCTCAAGACCCTGGAAAGAAGTGCTATTTTTCTAGAAAAAGAGATGCTGGAACTCGCAATGAACAGGCTCCCTTGTTTTCTTATAACAGCAATGGCACCCACCTGAGAGGTGCTGGAACTGATTTATGGGGAGTTCTGGCTGGAAAAAAAGCCCTGCTGGAATGCCACTGCCAAAGCAGATTTTACAGGGATAGGCATGTTACAGGCGTGTACCTGGACTCACATGTGCACAGCCAGCACTCATGCACGTTCATATACACTATTCACACAACACCTCCTCACAGACGAGTAGTACGGACCAGATGGAAGGCAGTTTCCCAAGTTTCTTATGTCTCACTTAAGGTGAAAAATCCAAGTAAATTGGCAAAAATGTATAAATCTAAATCAAATAAGTGTTGGAAATGTAAAGAGAAAGAAGTTTTTTTTATCATATGTTGTGGTCTTGTAGTAAGGTTAAAGCTTACTGGGAAATGATATCTAATGAAATGAAAAGGATGTTTAAAATAACCTGAGTAAGAAACAACAACAAGAAGCTGTCCTTTTCGGAATTATAGGGAAAGAACTACCGAAACTGCACAGAAACTTATTCATGTATGTTACTACAGTGGCAATAACGTTACTCACCCCAAAATGGAAAGAAGCAGAAGTCCCCGCACAGGAAGAATGGATACAAAAACTTAAGATAACTTTTTAGAAAAGAGTGGAAATGGTTCATTGAATATTTACAGATAAATTGTAAACAGATAAGAACATTGGCAGGATTATTGTAATAACCTGCAGTTTCATAAGAGTATATATTTAAAGACGAATAAATGAGCAAATTAAGTTAACTTGGATATGCAGCTATTTGGATATTTTAGAAGACATCTGAAGGCAGCCCTGTTTAGGGAAGCTTTTAATGTTTGATGCATTACTGTATTTTAATATTTTGTTAGAAGCCGCCCAGAGTGGCTGGGGAAGCCCAGCCAGATGGGCAGGGTATAAATAGTATATTATTATTAATGATAATAAAAATAAATTTAAGGAACTACAAAAAGAGAGGGAAGGAAGTAAAGTTTTGAAATGTCAAAAGGATTGTAAAATTAGTGAAATGTATAAACCTGCAAAGTATAAATAAAAAAATAGAATAAATAAAATAAAATGCAAAAATCTCGATGGTGGCATAGCAGAAGCATTCTGCTGAATCCTCCCTGATTCCCATGCTCACTAATTACTGTTTAGAGATTTTTTTAATATAACATTAAGCAGTGTGTTAATGCTTTTATAGCGAATGAGTAAGTTAAATAAATAAAAGCTAGCAGGTGCAAAGACATGGAATTCCTTCCGGTTGAAAATGGCCAAAACACAGTATTAATTTTCTTTAGATACCTGCAACGCCAGCCCACTTTCCGAAGGCTACAACTCGCACTCCTCTGTGATCCACCATTTTCTCGTAATCTATCAGTCGAATGTTCTGCAAGTACAACACACCGAATACATTTGTTCTCAGGCTCCATTCATCTCAGTACACTAAAAATTAAAATCAAATCACAGCAGCCCCTGCCATTTATAGAAAGATGCATGTAAAGGAAGTCGCTTCGATTCTTTTATACAGCAATGCTTTGAGAACGTCTCCTATGAGATAAATGGGATTTCTAAATAAAAAGAGGCAAAGCCACTTCCATTCATCTCAGTAGGGGGTTAGACCAGGGAAAATGTGCCTTGAGTGCATTTATTTCAATGGGTCTACTCTGAGTTCACTAATAATAATAATAAAATTTTATTTATATCCCACCCTCCCCAGCCGAAGCTGGGCTCAGAGTGGCTAACAACAGTAAAAATAACACAGTTTACATAAAATCACAGTCAATTAATTGAAATACATTCTAAAATCAATTCAGAATCAAATTAATGGCAACCATTGGGCTAGAGTTCTATGAGGATTACAGAAGGAGGGGGTCAGACTGTGCCTTGGTGGAAAGATGTCAAGTCCTGCAGGGCTGTAGTCTCTTGTGACAGAGTGTTCCACCAGATCGGGGCCACAGCCGAAAAAGCCCTGGCTCTGGTTGAAGCCAGCCTAACCTCCCTGTGGCCCGGGATCTCCAAGCTGTTTTTATTTGAAGACTGTAAGGTCCTCCGTGGGACATACCAGGAGAGGCGGTCCCGTAGGTACAAGGGTCCTAGGCCATACAGGGCTTTAAAGGTTAAAACCAGCACCTTAAACCTGATCCTGTACTCCACCGGGAGCCAGTGCAGCTGGTATAGCACCGGATGAATATGATCCCGCAGCGAGGACCCCTTAAGGAGTCTCGCCGTGGCATTCTGCACCCGCCGGAGTTTCAGTCTCAAGGGCAGCCCCACGTAGAGTGAGTTGCCTTTTATGCTACTAAAACACACTGCCGTCAATTCATTGCCGCATCATGAAAACCCAATATTGCACTTTGCAAATCCTCTCATTCTGCTGAACTGACCGTTTCACCATATTATAATAATAGTTAGCAATCCTCGGTAAGTGAAATATTACCTTGCTCAGGATCTCATCCAACAAGGGCATATTTGCCTCCTGAGCTTTAATAGTATGAGAGAAGAATGCATAGTTCTTGTTGGGAATTAGCTTATCCTCCGGCGGCCTCTTCACACCCACAATCAGGCAGGCCTCTGAAATGTCTTCCTGTATAATACCGCCAGCTTTAACATAGTCCTGCAAACAAAGCATTGAAGAGGAATTGACGTCTTGAGCCAAACTGAACAAAGGCAGAAAATATCGAGATAGTTCAGTAGATGCTATTCCAGAAGGTGAGCCTTATTTCTATACTGGCTATCCACTCCTGTGGGTGGGGGAGAAGAGATTCCTTCCCCACTTATGAGGGGTATCGTTCTCACCTGCCATTTCTAAATGAAACCACACACTCGGTGCCAGAGCAAAATGGCAGTACACAAGGATTGCTATTTTCATATCAGAAAGAGGGGAGGCTTTCAGCCAAAGATGTGGCTTGTGGGTTCATATACGAATGAACCTTAATTTTTTAAAGCCATAGGCCACCACAATATTGATTCCATAAATCTTTATGTGATCTCAGTGGGGCTGTTAAAGTAATTTTAGACTCTCAGCGTATTATGGACTTATTATGGGAGGAGTTCAGGTGCTGTTTTACTTCATTTACTTTAAATTGGGGGGTGCTGGCCCTGTTGGGGTTTGCCCATTCTGCTGAGTGGGGCCTGGACCCCGCACTGAAGTCACCACTTTGTCAACCTCCGTCCCCTCTGCTGCTTCCAACTCTTCCATCGTCCACTCATTCATCTGCAGCTCCTTCCTCGCTGCCCCTTCTCCTCCTGTCATTCATTCACACACTCCTCCTTCCAGCCCTCTTTTCCTAGGTGCTGCCCAGTTCTACAAACTTGTCTGGTGCCTACCACCTCTTTCCCAAGTCTGTTGTGCTTGCTTTTTCAACCTCTCCTTCTCTAGGGCCTTCTGGACCCTGCTCTGCCCCACTCCAGAAAACAAAGGCAGCTCAAACAGCAACAGCAAACTTTGTGGCTTGCTCAGTCCCTCTGTGACATCAGAGCAGTTCGGCCAATCACTGCCAAGAGGCTTCATCAGCACCCATAAAACCACTATGGGCATTGTAACATCAAGGGCCCAATAATTGTGATTAGACGTGCACAAGAAACAAACTGTACGCCGCTCCTACCCTCGTGATCAACAACAAAAATGTCAGGACTTACTTTTTCATGGATGGACCTTCGATTGGACGGTTGCACCAGAACTTTGTAGCCCAGGTTGGTTAAAAGTTTGACGTGCCGTGGGGCTAACGGGGCTCTTCTTTCCCAGGCATTGACATCCTCTCTTCTGATTGCCAGGACAGATTTATGATAATGCTGCCACCTTGAAAGATGGCTCTCAAACCTACCACCTGTGCGTTTGAATGCTCGAAGCATGATTAAAAACCTAACAGCAAGCAAAGGCAAAGTAATAAGGAGATGCAACATAACGGTGTTCAGAAACAGCCATTGCGTGTCCGTCCATCTCCTGCCCCCAACAAAAAAACCCCTGGTCTCCTTAGAAATCTGCTGTAAAACTAGTTAGTTTTTAACACAAGGTGCAATGCAGAAGTCATAACTGCCTATTGCCAATTAACTGTGCAAACGTTTCAAACTTTTTCAGAGGGGGGAAAACCTTGAATGTTGTCTTCCTTACAAATGAGAACATGAACTGAAAATTGTTACAAGGGAAGCAATCTGGTAACAGTCAAAAGTAACATTTGTATCTCAGATTCAGTCTAGGAATCCAAGAATTCTAAACAGTGTAATCAGTGCAGATTGAATGAGAAAAAACTTGGCCTAAATCATCAGCTAGTCCCTTCTGACTTTTAATTCCAAAACTATGGATGCAAGAACAGATTGACCCTTCCACACTAAGTGGAAGGATGAACGATACGCAGTGTGAAAGGTTGGCAGTTGCCAACCTATAACCGCCAACATTTGTCCAACATTTGTCCATTTATTGGTTTTATTTAAATATTTATACCTCCATTCTTAAACATGACCAGCACCATGTACATTTTCTTACGTTGTCAAATGCAATATGAAATCCTGGCCTTCTCTTTACATTATAAAAAGGAGAATTTAGACGCAGCCCTGAAGATATCCATACTGAAGTCGCAAAACTGTTTTGCAGAGCTTGCTTCTACTTGGAAGTAAATCTCATTCAGTTCAGTAAGGCTTACTCACAGGTAAGTGTGCCTAGGACTGAAGTTTTGGTTACCCCTTTAGTAACCTTGGTGGTTTCCTTTGAAACAAGCGCTATTCCACAGGAAGCAAAAACCCAAACATTACAAATCTGAAACTGCAACCGACATCACTCCCGCTGTTTTACACACCAAATTCATGGAAGATTGAAGGGAGAATGAGAATTTTCAATTTTTCAAAGTGCGTGTTGTTATTGATACATATCAACACAGTAAAATTACCCAGCAGGCATTGTAAAATTTCAATAGATTGTGGCTCCAGTATTGAGCAGAAAGTGGTTTGATTCCAAATATGATCTACTGCCCATCTCATCATAGCCTGACAACATTCCCAAGGCAGACTGAGAACTGTTGATCATAGTGCCACAATCTATCAGAATGGATAACAGAGAACAATTTGTTATATTTGTAGCTATAACATCTTTGCTATTACAGTTATCAGCAACAATGGTTCCATACACACATTCACAACTATTTGGTCTCGGTTGTAGGATTCACCAGTCATTAGGACAAACAGTAGCTGCTATTTGATGACTAAGAGAGTGGAAAAGTTCACCACTCCCAAACCTCTTCCCTCCTCACTGATGCCATTGCAAACACTATTCCCTTGAAGTCAGGAGAGCTCTGTGGTCCATCTTTGCCTTGGCTTAAGGCAAAAAAGAAAAACACACACACTGCCTTTTAAATATATTCCAAACAAATGCAAGACTGCTACCAGGACAACCAAGCCCTCAGTAAAACCATTCGCATTACTGAGCTTAAAGGTCCTTACATATTCCAATAAGTGGAAGCCAATTACCATTGATATCAACAGCAAGAGATTTTATGCCTTTCTATGGGGAATGCGAAAAGGTTGTTAAACTTATCTGTCTCTAGTTGCAAAGGTTGTACATTTGCCAGGGCCTATGAACATTGTCAACTAGAGAAGCAAGGTAGAAAGGTGAACAATAAGGAGTATTGTGGTTCCTTGAAGACTTGCACCTTGTAGACTCTTTAAAGCCAGGGAGCCTTGAAATGCTAACATATTTTTGGTGTTTAAAGCAGTGGTTCTCAAACTTTTTTCCTTTGGGCCATACTTTCAAATAAAAAATTGTTCGTGCCACACCAATTTTTTTTTATTAGTAACAAACACAACTAGGATTGTCCTAGTTCATTGATCTTGCTCTCAATCTGAAAAGATAATTATCCATATTCTGCAAAAAAATAAAATAATTATACTATACTATCAAAAATATTTGATATTTGAGTATAGTATCAAAAATACTATACTAAAAGTTTGTTTGATACTATACTACACTGACGTGTTTAAATGTTTCTTTGATTGTCCTTGAATCTTCCCCCCCACTTGCCATCCTCTTCTGCCACACCCTTTAGGAACCATTGCTTTAAAGACTCGCTGCCCTTTTTGGCATCAAAAGGCTAACCTAACCACTCCTGGTGAAAGAAACAGCCACCTTTCCCTCAGGCTAAAAATTCCTCAAGTCTTGAGGAATGCAGGGAGGGAGACAAAAGGGGTGTGGAGAAGAGTCAGTAGCTCACCGCATACATTGCCCATCAGCCTATAAAATGAAAAGGGAAGACATTTAAAATGTCCAGACCCTTTTAAGTCTCTCGCAGCAAAAAAAAACACCACCACAGGGTTGTGGCAACTTTAAAACTACCTTTTTAAAAAAAAATATATAAACTTCTGTGGGATAGCTCGGTTGCTAGAGCACGAGGGTTAATCTCAGGGTTATGGGTTCCAGTGCCACGTTGGGCACAAGATTCCTGCATTGCAGGGGGTTGGACTAGATGACCCTATGGTCCTTTCCAACTTCACGATGCTAGGAAAGTCTATATCAGGTGCATGAAGCCTCAGGTAGGAGGAGGGATGGGGAGACGCGCACGAAGCACACAAGCCGGTTTCTTTGGCCCACGAAAGCACCCATATGGCCGAGTAATCAGAGGAGCAGAGCTCTCTCTCTCTCTCTCTCTCTCTCTCTCTTGTTAAAGGGTCTCTGCCTAATCCTTTGGGAAGAAGAAATCTTTGGGCTCCCACGCTGAGAGCTAGAAACTTTAAAGGCTTAGTTTAGTTTTGAAAACTGATAAAAATCATTATAAAAAAGAAAGTTAAAGGCTTGCTCAAATGTGAAAGGCAAGAGTACGCGACGCTCTCCAATTACGAATTGCCAGAAATGGAAAAAAAAGCTCCACTAAAAAAAACGCAACGCAGCTTCACACTAGAGGTTGTGCAATGGAGGTCTGCACCTCGGCTTTCGCCGGGAGGCCTACGGCAAGCGATCCCAGGCGCCTGGATCTCTACATCTCGCCGCTTCAGCATCTCCAGCAGCAACGTGGGCGCTGAGATTCCCGGAGGCTCCTAGGCCTCCGTTGCAAATATATACATATATGATCTCCTCCTTCAGCACCTAGGAGCGGCAAAGCTGAGGCTTCTTTCCCCGTGGCAGATAGGCAGGCAGGCAGACTGCCCTCTCCAAGAGCGCACGCCAGTTTGCTCGCTTACCTTTCGGATCCACGCGTGGGAGATGTGGGCGCCCCGCTGCCTGTCCCCGGCGAGCTCCGCCCGCCTGGCCTTGCGCAAGAAGCGGCCAGCTGCCCATCAAAGGCGCGCGGTTTGCAACATTGCGAGGGGGAGTCGGACCGCCTCCCCCGCCGCCAGCCAATCGGGCGCGACCTCGTGGGAGCAACCTTCCCCTTCCGCCAGTCGCAGAGGCCAGCCGGAGCTGCGTCACTAGGCGAGAGCACGCGAGGATTCCGCGCTGGAGGAGGGTTTCCCAAGGCACCAACGAGCAGCGTTCGAAAAGCCAGAACACCCCGAAAGTTGTTGAACTTTTTCTAAGGAAGATTTTAGGAAGACCCCAAGACTGAGCTTTTTTTTTTTTTTTTTAGGAATTCCCCAAGATTGAGGGTTTTTTTTTAGGAAGACCCCAAAACATTTTTAAAGGAAACCAGCGAAATTGTTGAAATTTTCTTAGGGAAACCTGAAAGTTGCTGAACTTTTTTTTTTTAGACAAACCCTAAAGTTGTTTAGGTATTTTATTTATTTTTTACAAAAACGCTCAATTTTTCGATTGACTTGCCTAAGATCCAGGACAAAGTAACACCTTTCAGAACCCCCCCCCCCCCGTCAATTGTGCCTTTGAAATTTCTCCAATGTCCGGGAGAATCCGGACATGTGGCAGTCTTAGGCCCACAGCCCCCTTTCTGACAGATCTGGTGTATGCATAAAAAAAGGGAAGGAGAGAAATGTAAAATAGGGGGAGGGGAGAAATGTGAAACCCAAAGGCGATGAAGTGCAAGCTTGGGACATGTGAGTTCCGCATTTACCGTCACACTGGAGCAGAGCACGTGCTTTGCCTGTAGCATAGAAGCCAACTCCTAGGGGCCAAGCTCCCTTTAGCCCCCCCATAAAATATTTAAGGGGGCTACCCCCCCAAAAAAAAGTGACTGGGGAAATCCAGCCAAATGGGCAGGGAATAATAACAACAACAGCCATTACCATTGAGTGTGCACAACAACAGCCATTACCATTGAGTGTGCACGCCTTATCTTGTGATTGATTATGCAGGACGTGGCTCACCTGCTCCCCCTCCCTCAATATTTTATTCAAGTTGGCTCCCCTAGCATGTAGAAAGCCCCAGGTTCAGTCTGTGGTCTCTCCAGGTAAGGCTGTAGAAAATCCCTGCCTGAAACCCTGGAAAGTTATAGCCAGTCACAGTGTAGCTTAACGGTGATCTAGCACAGGGGTAGGCAACCTAAGGCCCATGCGCCAGATGCGGCCCAATCGCCTTCTCAATCCGGCCTGCGGACGGCCCGGGAATCAGCGTGTTTTTACGTGAGTAGAATGTGTGCTTTTATTGAAAATACATCTCTGGGTTTTAGGCTTGCAGAGGTTTCTTTGTTTCACTAGAATCTCCAGGTACAAAAAAAAGGTGGCTGGAAAGAACCAACACGCTCCTCCCCTAGAATTAAAGAACATTAAATTAAAGCATTCCAGTGCCAGAATTGAGCTGATGGTCCTATCACAAAAATGCACTCTTGGTTACAGGGGTGCCAAATTGAATAAAATATTAGCCAGGGGGGCAGCCTGCCACCATAAATCAAGTAAATCAATAAAAATACTTAACTGAGGTTCTGCCCCCCCCCATAAAGCCCACCCCCTGACATAAATCCTGGCTATGTCCATGGGGGGACAGGGCAGATAAGCCCCACCCCACAAAATCACATGACATGGTACATGCA